GGATGAGGCTTTGAGCAACCTGGTCTAGTGGAAGGTGTCCCTGCTGCTGGCAGGGGGGTTGGAACTGGATGAGCTTTAAGGTCCCTTCCAACCCAAACCAGTCTGTGATTCTATGAAATGAGTAAAATGTGAGGACACAAGTGAAGTGTTACAGCTGCAGTGGCAGAGAGGGAAGGGGAACATCAAATCCACATACATCACTATGCAAATACAAGAATGCCTTTTGTTTTGGGAGATCCCTGCTCTGCTCCTGTCACTGAGCTGAACCACATCATTTCAGTTCCCTTTAACTTCTCCTTTCTGACAGCCAGCACTAAAGTTTTCATAGATCTGATTTAAGGGATTGACATTCAAAGTCTGCTTATAACCCCACTGAATTTCCCAACTGTCTCATCAGGTTCTGGGTTTTCTTTCTGGAAATAAAAAAAACAAAACAAAAATTAACTGATTTAATCTTATCTCCATTTCAGGAATGGGAAGCAATGGGAGTGGAGCAACTGCGTCTCAGCACCGTGGACCTAACTGGGGTCCCCACCTTGGAAAACCTCCACAAGGGTGTGGAATTCATACTGAAACACCGAGCCTGCGGTAACAGCGTCTATGTGCACTGCAAGGCCGGGCGCTCCCGCAGTGCCACCATGGTGGCAGCGTATTTAATTCAAGTAAGAAAGATTCGATGCTAAATGGGGTTTATTTTCATACAGTCTGGGCAAATACAAGCCGAACTTTACAATCTGCTTTCGCTCAAGAAGCCTGAGCATGTACAGGTGCGTTAAAATTCCGTGACTTTACAGAGTTTGGACTGAAGACCCATTTTAAGAGAGGTAGATAGCTAGGCTCTAAACTTACATCGCTGTTTTGTACAATGTGGTAGGTAAATGGAAGGTAAATGAACAAGTGAAACTTAATGTTTGCTGACCTGTGGTCTAAGCTTTCTTTGAAAATCTAGTTTACCTTTGCACACCTTGTTCATCCGCACTTATGATACTGACAGGATAATGCTTCCTGGCAATGAGAGCGTGGCGAAGCTGCAGTGTAGCTGCCATTGTAAGTAGTCTTTTCATTCATCTGTACAGTCGGCCTCTGCCAGCTCAATATTAGCACAGGCACTGGCAAAGATCTTCTGATCTTATGGGAAAGAGAAACTGTTGTTGCAACAAAGCTTTGAAACACATGGTCTGATAGTTGGTGGTGCTGGCAGATCAGACGTCAGGAAACTGCTCAGTTTTCTGGGCCGTTAATACAGTAAGTTCTCAACAGGTTTTGAATCGTTCTGCCATTCTTAATTCTTTCTATGGAGGAACAGATTGAGAAGGGGATAACAAGTCACTCCTGAGGGTCAGTTCACTGAGCAGATAAACATCCCTTTTTGCTGTTCAGATTTTCTCCTTGGTTAGCTGAAATAGTGAGCCTTTCCAAGCCTTTCAATAAATACAATTCAGGATGAAGAGAAGTGACTTTGGTTTTCTAAGTTCCTCTACAGACCCAACTGGGTAAGCCAGCACTAAGAACAAAATCCCACATGTGGATTCTTCTGTTGGTGTTACTAAGAGCTCCCTGGAAGATTTTCCCTTAGTGCTGAAGGGAAAATTTTCTCTCCCAGTGCTGCAGTGTGATGGGAGTACTGGTAAAGTCTTTAAAAAAAAAAATTAAAAAAAGCAAGCTGCACTTTTGCTCTGGTCTGGTGGGACTAGGACAGGAAACTATTCACGTGATGGAAGCATGAGTGAGAGAGAAAATGGAGGTCCCAGGCAGCAGCCATCCCTCTTTAACTGAGGGACTCATTTTTATAGGAACTTGCATTGACATCCAGGCCCCTCTGAGAGGAAGGTGAAGGAAACAGAAGGGGCAAAGCAGCAGGTTTTCTAACAACTCTGATGTAGCCTGTAGCCTCCAGGAAGGCTCCACTAACTGGTACAGGGATGGAATGGATTTTCACTTGCAGGGTTTCTGCCTTTTCAGCTGCATCACTGGAGCCCTCGGGAAGCAATAGAGGCTATTGCCAAGATCCGTCCCCACATCCTCGTTCGCCACAAGCAGGTCCAGGTACTGGAGACATTTCACAGGAACATGATCACTGGGACAACTGCATAGTGTCAGTAAGAACTATCTAAATCTCTGACTTGGCTGCTTTAAAAAAAAATAATTATGTTTTAATGATCTAATGAATGTTTAAGTGTTGTACTTCTTGACCATCAATAAAGAAGTTTTTACATAAATGACAGTAAAGGGGAAGTTGGGCTGTTTCATTAAAGCTTTCTTTCCTCACAGCTAATATCTTAGTTCTCTTGGAGCCCCATGGTTCTTCTTTTCCACACACACACAGTATCAGCCCTGAGCTGAAGTGCAATCCACAGGAAGTTCTAAAATATTTGCAGCAAAGGAAAATAAAACTTCTGTCTCAGCAGAGACTTTATTCAGATTCTTACCCAAAGGGTTACAGTGCCGACAGAGAGGGGTAGGAGGAAGTGGTCTTAATTCTGTCTTTCACCAATACTATGATTACAAGTGGAGATTCCCTGTACAGTAAAGGAAGCCAATGCTCATAAAAAAGTCTTCCTCTTTGTCCTAGGTGATAACAGAGCAGAAGGCAAGTTCCCAGTTTGTTACCACTCCCCAAAGAGAAGTACTGAATAACGCAACCTACTAAAGGTCTTGGGGTCAGCTCTGCAATCTGTCTGCTGTCGATATTTCTGCCAGTCCCTCCTTCTGCAACAGGGACACACGAATGCTGAAATGGGGACATCCCTGGAGGACACAGTGCACACCTAACTCTGTGACTGACGTGGCAGCAACGCACAGTCTCCCAGGCGGTTCCAACTAGCAGTCTGGGCCAAGGAGGACACTGTCCATATGCTATAGGATTTGTTATTGACGGATTGGTTCCAGGCTAAAAAAGACATTTGCTGCAGTTTGGGCCTCCAACACAAGCAGCTTATCATCAAGGGATCAAAGTAATAGCCTTAAGTCAGTCTGAAATCTAAGATGCAGCAGTTCAACTTTAATAATGCTACGTAAAAGAAGAGGCTCACAGCAATAAAACCTGCACTTCCCTCTGCACAGGTAGAGAGGATGGGGTCTTTACTGGATGTTGTGAGCTCGTAGTAATTGGGACTGGTGCTGAGGGTGGTGGGTGTCTTTGAGCTGCACAGCAGAACACCGGTGCTGCCCTTTTTTTTTTTTTCCTGTTCAGGCCAGGACAAACTGCAGGTTAGTGAGCAGCACTTTGATGCCACTTGTAACTGTTACAACAGAGGTGGCTGGGTTAAGTTTGAAAGTATTCGCGTCACCCTTTTTATAGCGGTCGCGAAAGACATAGATGCTGCCATTGCAACTGGCAATTTTCCAGAGGGATGGTACTGAGCTCCAGGCATCTGGCAGGCATAGCCGGGTGAAACTATCCAGGAGGGGATTATAACAGAGCAGTGAATCCCCCTCGGCTACAATGAACACCACATCCTTGTGTACAGCGGCGTGCATGCGTCCTGCAAAAGGCAGCACGTATGGCTTCACGTGGCATTTCTCTGTGCTGGTATCATAGCACTGAATTAGCCGAGAGGGCTTGGTGAAGAAGTCCAAGTCGTTTTCCTCCCCACCCAGCAGGTAAATGACACCATTAAGGTTTACACCTGCAGCTCCAGAGACTGCCACTTCCAACTGGCTGGTCTCTGTCCAGACATTGTCTCGTACTCTGTAATATATGACAGCATTCGAGAGAGTGTCCTGTAGAGTTTTCCCCCCCAGTGAATATATCGCATCTTTGCTGGGCACGGAGACAAGGGTGTGTTGGAGCCGGTCACGGGGCAGAGGGGCACACCATTCCCAGTCTATAGTCGCATTGTTGCATTTCCACATGCGCCGTGGAATGGAGCCACCAACGACATAGAGGTCACTACCGTGCTTGCAGGCTGCAGTGATCTGGTGACACAGGCTGTTCTGGCCACTCACGCTTATGGAGTCGTCATCAGCACAATGGAGAGAGACGGCGAGCGAGTGTGTACGTGAGGACTCCTTTCCAATCAGGTAGATGTGAACATTTTCTCCAATCACCTGAAAGAAAGGAGGAGTGTGTCAGCAGACCTGGACCCATTTACACAAACATCAGTGATGCCTAGGACTGAATTTTTCAGCTTAGGACCCATCTGTGGGCCTGAGGTGTGTGACCTGCTTCCCAAGTCCTGCCACCCTATACCGTTCAGGATTCAGAGCCTCAAAGCCTTTTCAAGATACTACTTGTACCTGACATAGCAAAATAGCTGCAGACTTCACTGGAACCCAAGGATCTACAGTTTAGGTAAGGGCTGGTTACATCACTGGTGGAGTGGAGTTATAAGGAGAACACCAAACTCAGATTTCTGAATGGTGTCTTTGGTAACTGAGCATCTGGTGAAATAAGTTATTTGTGGCATTGCTCCAGTCACTCAGGTGAAAGCAGCCTCAGGTTACATTTAAAAAGCTGTCAGTGGGGTTGCTGTTTATGACAATCAAAGTATTCCTCGTGCAAGGACCACAAATTTCAATAGCATTTGTGTTTTGCAACTTTTAAGTCACACCTATGAGCAGAATAACCCTGCCCTGGGAAGTGGGAAACCAGCAAGTGCTACACCAACCCCGGAACACAAGGTCTTGTTATACCTTCAGGCTTGACCGCAGAGTATCTGAAAAGCCCGCTCGCTCCTCCTTGTTGAAGTTGATCCAGGTTTCTATGGCAACTGTTGGATTCTGAGAACACGGAACGCCATCTGCGGTTTGGGGACAGAAAGGCATTTATAGCTAGACAAAGGTGTATGTCCTCAGAAACATCCTTCTCCTGCGACTCCTTCCCCACACTCCCACTAGAAACCTCGCTTTCTAGAGAGGAAAAGAAGATAGAGAGGTTTATAGATTTTGGCAGACGTGATCAGCACTGCCAGCCAGACATCTACATGAAATTAGTTTGGGTGAACATCAGAAGACAAGAGCTGCCAGATCTTAAGTACTTTGGATGAGTTTCAACAAAGGAAACTATGTCCGAGAGAAAGAGGGCAGGAAAGAGAACTTACATGCTTTGTGACAATTAAAAAATATTTTCTTATTTAAGCATTTAGGCAAAAAGATTCTCTTAGTTCAGAATCTCAGCAACTGCCTTTCTTTCTGGCTGATCCTACCTAGCAAAAGTCACCTGCAGAAATTCTGTCAGACAGCTGACCCTCAAGACTGAACATGTGGTGTTGCTGCTATCCTCTTCACATTCAGAAATCCCCACTGAGCTACCACAGCTTTCCTGAGCAACCTGACAGTAGGAAACACTCACCAGACTGCAGCCGATTTCAGTTTTGTTTCCAGACATAACTGGAAGTTTTGGCTGTGCCACAAACGATTGCATCACAGTCATCAGTCCATTAACTCAAAATTACCTCAAAATTAGAAGATTTGAGGTATTGAGATGATTAGAGCCAGCAATGATGCCTGTATTCATTGACAGGCTTCCTTATGCGGGCTCTCTGACTTTGTAGTCTGCTTTCATGACAAACACTGAATTCAATGATGCCGAAAGCATCAAACTCCAACACTTTTCTCTGTACTGGAAGGGAGGAGGAAAAGCATGGAACAAAAGTAGGCATTTTGATCCTGTTTATTGGTAATAGAGATTTCCATAAACTATCCATCAGATGTAGTGGTTAAATGGAAAAATTCTGATTTTGAAATGGGTCCTATAGTGCAACAAAATGTAAACTTAATAAATGACCATCTTCATGGAATTTACTTTAATCCTTGCCACTAATAGCTTCCTCTGTTTAACTGTCCATTATCTAAACAAAGATGCAGGAATTATAAAATAATAAGATTTTCTCTACCAGCAACAGGAGTATATTTCGGATTTTAATCCATTTCATGAGCTAAGTTCTGGCATAAATATTGAGTAATGTGATTCTATATATGGAAATAGATGATGCATGGGAAAAAAAAGTTTCCTTGAGCAATTATTTTCATTTAGGACCACAAACACTAAGGCCATAGACCTTACTATGGTTAATACATGGAATCCCTACTAGGAAGTTAAGGGTGATTGACCTCTAGAGCTTTATTTCATCATTTTAGAAATATTTTTTTTGTGAAGTCACAACTTAGTTTAAAAACTTTTGTGAGAGATAATTATCAAAATTACTCTAATTTTATCATAGTTTTTTTGAGCTATCACTACATATTCTCAATAGATTTCTGACTGTGAATTTCTTTAGATGCAACAGGGATAATACAGTGCAATATCTGTAAAGACTCTCAGATGCAGAGGATCAACTTTAAAGGCTATTTTAAGTCTTATGGACAGATTTGCCAGTATCCCAAAGAAACCAGTCACGGGAGGTTTATTGTTGTAACAGGATACAAAACACATGATGTACAAAGTCTAGTTATTTACTCATTTGCAAAATCATTTCATTGAAGCAAGAAAGGGGCAATCTCTCTGGTCCCACATCCAGTACATCTGAATGTATGAGCTGCTTCTACATTCTTGCTTCCTCTAGCAATGACACATAAATGCACAAAAATGGAGTTGTGGCTGCAGCAGCACCGAGAGGTTTTTGAGTACTGGCTGCAGAGAATCTTTAAGGATTGGTGCCAGTTGGACTAAGTTGTCGATGTGTTGACACATCCTTCACAACCCTGAGTCTCTGTATCCATTACTGTGGAAAGCTATTTATTACCTTTACAAGAAGGGTAATTACAGCATTACCTAAGATGTTACAATGCCTCTGTTTCCGTCAGATGAGTGCCTAGCCCAAATAATCCTAACAATTATATAGAATTGTGAATAACACTAACGTAGTCTAAAAATAATGGCTTGTGCTCAAGCCTTCTTATAAATCTTGAGTTGTTGCATTACTATGTTAAATGTTTACAAACTAAAGAAAATAAAAGACCTTCAGAAGACCTTCAGTTCATTTCTGGCAAGGCTTCTTTGTTTTACTTTTAACACAAATAAAAATACAAAAAAAATGTTGAAAGTTACTATGTTTAAAAAACCTGTAACACGTCTGACTTGTTGCCTCAGGAACTACTGGAATCAGCATCCTCTCTGTCACTTTTCTACAGCTTATCATAGAATCATAGAATGATTTGGG